CAAATTGCTTAACATATGCTTTTAGAATTCAAGTACGCATTCACACTAATAGATTTTCATGCATGCTTGTATCTTCTCATTAAATTTAAATACATTTGTAGGCTTTATGGCCAAAGAAATTTCCTCAAATTTGATAATATCTATACATATAACTATAGAGCTTAACAAAATCTCTCATTGCTTAAGTACGTACTATTTATCACCTTTATCAAATAATTAATAATGCCCATTTTAAAATCATTTAAATTTTTTGCATACTTATTCCTTTCAAAATATTCTTTTTTATAAATCATGGAAACTAGGGGTTCATCCTTTAAAATTACTTTAGCATCAAAGCATTATTGTATAACCAAGCATAGTCACACCTAATCAGTTATTCACATATTTTTCATGTAATATAAATTACTTAGGTATGTACCCATAAAATCCGTATGTACTCACCTGGCTTGTTAGTGGAGACTAATTATTGCCTCGACCTCAGTCCGGTGCTACTTTCCACATTACCACTTGTACAAACCTATTCAGGTAACATCAAGTTCCTTAGAACTTGCACATACGTACTATCATACTTGATATAGCGATCCTTTATTCGATCGTTAACCAAATCTGGTAACTATTTGTTACCCGACTTTATCAAGTCTTGTAACATGACTATTAGACGACTTAACCCTAATGATTTTCACATAATATAACTCTTGGATTTATGGGGTGTCATCCTGACACACACATAAAATATGAAAATTATACGACTTAAGAGCTTACCCTCGACGTTGGTATCTCGGAAATTGAGGCTTGTAACGATCGGCGGGCCTGCCGTGAGTGTAATCCTTTAATCCCTCACTTCTTTGTTCCCTTTTTGAGCCATTGGCCTCCCCTACTATTTCTTATCTTGAATATAAAAATCAATCAATGTACGTAACCCTATATCTATTTTTAGTTATTTTATTTGTTGAATTGACTAATTGATCAAGAGATCCGACTATTGGATTATAAGTTACAAGTTTTTATTGTTTAGCGTTTCCGCTACATTGTGCTTTTGTGGCCAAAGATCATCATAACACAATAGTGGTATTAGATCCATCTTGATCACGTCTCTGCACATGTGTTTTCTATCGTTTTTTATTTATATTTTCATATGTTTTGTTCACTAAAACGTCTTAAAGTTAAACCTTTTTATAACCTAAAAATGATTAGGATTTTGGATTTGAAAAAATTGTTTTCTGCTCGACAAGGTGCAACACTCCTCTACATGATACAATGTGCTTTCAATTAATTTTGAAACCTAATATGTGAGGCACATGGTGCCGTTCTGAAACACTGTGAACCACAGTGGACACGACATGCATGTTACTGGACGCGACACACTTCAATAGATAACATATTCATTTTTCCTTTTTTAAGTTAGATTTGAATATGTTTGATTATATTGAGCATTTAATTCAGATCTATGAACATTACACAAATTAGATAGTTTATAAAAGATAGATTTTAGTTGCCTGATACTTTTAATTTTAAATTATTAAATATCAATATTGTGAGTTTATTGTTTTAATATTTTATTGCATGTGAGATTATTGAAAAAAAATTAATTCTAAAAGTTGTAATCCAAGTTCAAATAATTATTTGTTTGAATTGTACAGATCCAACATACAATGCCTCGAATTACCTATGTTGAGTATGTATTTTATACTTTGGGTCTTTGTGACCTCATTAGTTTTATATTTTGTATATGTAATCTTTCTTTTAAATGTAAATGTTTAGTTAAGTATTTTGTAATTAGAATAGAAAAGTGTAATGATGTGAAGACCGAAAACCAAGTAAAGGATTTAGGAGCTTGAAGTTCCAAGGCATTCAAGGTGGCATCAAGAGTTGGTTGCTGATAGTTTGGAGACCTTGAAGAGTCCAGTTATCTCCTTAGTATGACTTCTCTCCTCTTTGATTAATCATAGAGGAGATAGATAGGATAGAGGCTAGTGATGTCATTATTTCCACTTGATATGTGTGTGATTGCATATTTCTTATTTTAAGTCTATTTAAATTTGAAATTGATTATTTCAAAAGGTTAAAATATTTTAACTAAAATTAAAACAAAAATGTTGTTTTTAATCAATATTTAAATCTCATGTTACCTATGAAACCCACACACTTTCTTGTAATAGGATTTTGTGGGGTAGTGCCTGGAGCCAACACATTAGTTTGATTATGGTAGAGGTGATGTGACACTTGTGATTCTCAAGCACTACTTGAGACGAATGTCACGTGGGTTTGCATGGTTGATTTTGATAAGTTGTTTAGAATGTGTTTTAGTTAATCGATTAAGAAAATAGAGTACGAACACCTCGATCAAAATAAGATATGGTTTCAACACGTTTATTCCGAATGAGCACAAAGAGTTTGAGTATAATTAAAGTCTAATGCGAAAGCCGCAAAAGCTCCTCTACCCTCTAAGAACCTACCTTATTTATAGGGTACTCACAGAATCAAAAAAAATACTAGGATTATCCACGGAAGTACGAAACTCATAGATGCCTAGTTAATAGATTAACATAGTGAAGTCATGTGAACCTTCGCTATTTATAGACACTTCGTATAAAGATAACTACCGATTTGACTTCTCACAACCAAATTTCGACCTAACATTCTCCCCCCTTTGTGAGAAAAAGACAAATCATGAAACTTTAGGTAGAATCTTTATTGTATGTAGCAAACCTCTCGAATCTTCATATACCAATGAATGATCTTCCTAATCTTCGCTCTGTCTTCATTCTTGTTTCTCTGACAGTTGTTGATGTGTAGTAGGATACTGGTAAGATGTGTATTCGAATAACTTTCAACATCATCGACACGAAATAAGAACTTTTTCCTACTCTCCTTCTTCCCTTTTCTAATGAACACATATCCAAGAGGATCATGCATAATCTCTCCATATTCAAAATCCTTTATGCTTATTTTTCCTTTTAACAATGGTTTAGGAACTCTCAAGCTTATGTTAAAGTCAGTAGAGAGATCAATATCTATCGTAGCTAAATGAGCAAAATAAGCATCTAAAAAAGTCTTGAGATGCCCATATCCAAGAACATAGGTAGTTTTGTCTGGAATATCAGTCTTTTTAAGATCACCCGCCTATAATGCAGTTGAAACAAGATCATTCACGTTCATGAGTGGAAAATCTGCAATTTTGAATTCAAAAGGCACATTGTTTGCATGAACCACCATGTATCGAAAATTATACAACAATCCTTCGAATAACACATCAGGAGTAACTGATATGAACTTGAAAATTTTCACTAACTACCACAACTCCCCCTCGCTCTTTCCCAATACTGCATGAAATCGAATGTTCAACTTTTTGAATTCATCCTTGTCCTGGTAATTCTCAGCAAGCTTAAATTAAGAGAATACAAACAAAGAGTAATTAACTGGAAAATCCAATTTGATTAAACTCTGTATTCTAAGTTGCATAACTCTTCCTTGGCTTGACCATAAAGTCTTCATCTTCACTGAAAGCTGAACGTTTAATTAATTCGTAATTCCAGACTTTATTTGGATCATCTATGTTAAGACGAGGTGGATCATCTTTCCTTTGCCTTAAGATGTTATTCAATTTCCTTATCTTCTCCATCTCAATCTCTTGCATCCTTTTCTTTTCTTAAGCTGAGGGCTTGACCTCTGTATTTGGGATCAAAGGTTGATGTAGTCTTTACCACAGCAGAACTCGAACCTCATTTTCCAATACTTATACCTTTTTGTTGCAACATACATAAGTCAACATTGATATTCGGAGCATTCGTTGTTGTTGTTGTTGTTGTTGTTGTTGTTGTTGTTTTTCAATATGTCAGCATGGGTTTCATTAGTAGCGAAGTGTGAATTTGAGTAGACATGACTTTTCCCACAATAATACCTTTGTCTTCATCAATTCCTTTAGATGAACCAACCCCCCTTTCTTCCCATTGCGTCACATTCGCAGAACGTGACGCATTTGTTGAAAGGCTAAGGACGAGGTCAAGAATTGGTGCCAACTAAGATTTAAAGTAGGATTCGACTGAAAAGACCATAAACGAAAGTGAATCTTAGGAAATAGAAGTAGTTGATTAAAAATCAAACTTTGATAAGGTATCCTGGAACCCACCCAGTCAAAGACTTTTCTATCTGAGAAAACATCTTCCCATCTTCTTCTTTCTTATTCTTCAAATCATCTGAGCAATCATTATTGAAAGCAGTAAGATCTTTGACCAAACAACTTGTAGCTCCAATCAGAACATTAACTTTCTGACTTATAGTTTCAAAAAACTTATCAATTTTATGAACTTCTGTTGAAAATAAATCATTGAACTCTTTTATCTTCAACTCAATGTAATTCTTTGAATCAGTGACCAGCTTCTCAAAAATCGAATGATGTTCACGAGTAGTATCTTGTATTTTTTTAAGTTCATAATCAAAACTACAAGAATGAGTGCCCAAATTTTCATCAACACTCTTTTCAATACCTTCAGTTAAAGTCCTGGTCCTTGAATCTTGCGACTTTAATAGGTACTCGACCTCAACCCCACTAACATATGACTTCCCAGCACTATTATTTAGAAATTGAAGAATATAATTTATTTTAGAAATAAGGATCTTGAATTGTTTACTAAACATGTTAACATTATTAGGAACATCATTCTCATGTGGATTAAACTCCAAATCTCCAAATCCAACCATGAAATCATATTCATCTTCTTCTTCTATGTTAACCGTATTCTCAACCTCTATGGATTGAGATGAAAATAAAGATGTAATAGGTTCATTCATCACCGCTTGAAAAGTTGGTGATACAACTAGTATGGATATAGGTAGAATGGTAGATGTTTTTGGTGGAGACAAATGTAGTGGTGGTGGTGGAACAGCTGTAGTATCAACGGTTGTTGTCGAACTCCCATCCCCCATGTGAACATTTACGTCCTTATTAGATAAGTTCACATTGATGTTTGAAGTTTTTTCCTCCTCCATATTGGACTTGGAATGCGAAACCCAGGGTGGTGTGATAATTGTCTTCTCAGGGAGTGATGTGATTGTTTGTTCACCAGAATTGATGTTTGCGTCCATATCAGATATGTTTGTATTGACATCTGGATTACTTGTCTCCTTGAAAATCGATTTGACAGAAGTATCCTTCCTGGGTGAAACATGAAATGAACCTTGCAATGCGTCTTCTATGGCTTCGCTATAATAATCAAGCTCAACCGTAACATTCATCATTGGTGTTTCGACAGTAGAAGGCTTAAACTTCTTCAGTCTCTGTACAACTTCTAATGCTTTTTGTTCTTTGTATCAGGAGAATCAGGAGAGGAAACACCTTTGAGCATAACACCTCGCTTCATCACCTTCAGCTGTATCTTCTTAGGCTTCGTAGGAACAACCTCTTGAGTAGGAATATCCCGAGTAACCTTCTCAGTTTGTTTCTCATAACCAACACTTGTAGATTTATCAGGAACAAATTTCTTTGTTTTCTTAAGAACCCCCTTTCCTGAATTCTCAAACACAGTTTTCTGAGACACCTCTTCCTCATCTTCTTTAGGTTTTGCAATTTGCTTCTACTTCTTCTTACCCTTTAACTTCTTTGGAAGATCCCTCTGCAGCTTCAAAAGTAACCTTCTTAGGAAGAATACTAGTATGATTTGGATTCATAGAAGTTTTATATTTGATCAAAAGCTTATTGGTAGGACATACCAAATTAAGAATTGAATCCGGAACTCAACCAACCACCGGAAAAATAGCTGGATCATCAAGGGTAGATTTGGGAATAGTCATCCGAGGAAATGTGGCACCATCATCATCAGTAGGTAAAGTAATACCTTATTGAGTATAAACCTCATGTAAAACCAAACTCCAAAATTGAGCACTAGAAACTTCCGTAGTCATCTTCAAATTGGAAATCGAGTTACCAAACGCAACCCAGAGCAATGAGGCATAATCAACATTTAGGCCATAGTACAACCAGCCATAATCAAATAGAACTTGATTTTCGCATTATAAAATCCAAAACTACTGCATTTTAAACAATGAAGAGTAATGCCAAATAAAAAATTCCATACCCCAGGAAGAATTGTCTTCTTGAAATGGCTAATAACTGAAAGAGTTGACTGATGCCCCATTTCATTAAACATGTGGATAACTTGTTCACTTGTAACTTCTTCGAACTCACCTTTGTTGGAACCTGAAAGTGAACCTCTAGAAATCTCTAACCCTTGGAGTTTCGAAGTCAGTCTTGAGTCTGAAATGGTTGTGGTACGAGATGGTGGTAGAGTCTGAAGCGGAGTATGTGTCGAGTTGAAGAAATGATCTGAGATCATGTGTCAGTCTATGCATTGATTATTCTTGTCTTTTGTATGATGTAAATTTTTATAGGACCAAGTCTATTTTGATTATTTGGATAATCAGTATGTCAGAAATAGTATTATTATCCGGTCCTTTGTATGTCAATCAGTTTGTATGATGTTCCTCCTTGACTATTTAAGGAGTGATTGAATGAGAAGAATATCACAAATTGTTCTTCAAAAGATATCATATTCTCACATTAACTCTCTTTCACTTTGCTCTCATATCAAACTCTTTCAAAACATTGTACTTGTTCATTTATCGTCTTTACCTTGATTATACTCATAGTTCTACATTTAATACTTGAAGTACTTTGTGGATTTCTCCCTTCAGTCTCGACTGGTCTTCCTAGACTTGACTGGAACTCATAATTACAAGCAAACATTGATCTTAAGCATTAACTCATGGTTTGAGTTTTCGAACCTTGTCCCTGTGCATAATATCCTTGTTGTCACAATTGCTATCAGAGCTTGAGTGGTTGTCCTTTGAATCCATAAGAACAGATTATAGTTGATTCGAGAATACCTTGGTATTTCGATCATTTCTGTGTTCAGGATAAAAGTTCTTCTATATACCACTTTTGCTCAAGATATCATAACTTCAATGGCTGCTTCTAATTCTCAACAAATGCATTCAATGCAAATAGAAAATAGCGTGGGTTGCCCTTCTCGTGCCCCATTGCTAGTTGTTGAAGAGTATGAACACTGGAAAGTCAGAATGGAAAGATTTTTACTTGGTAAAGAAAAAGGTGAAGCTATCTGGAGATCCGTTAAAGAAGGTCTACATGTTCCAGTTCGAACAATTGTTAGAGATGCTATTGTAACTCTCATGGGACAAGATGAACAGCGTCAAGCACCTCTCACTGCTGATCACATCAAAAAGTTGCATGCAGATCAAGTTGCCTTCTCCGAAATGGTGTTTGGTGTTCCACCTTCTCTCTTAGAGCACATTAAACTATGCAAATCTGCTAAAGTGATTTGGGACACATTTCAAGACTTGTTAGAGGGATCAGAAAACATGAAGGATAAGCGTCTAACCTCCATTGTCAATGAGTTCGATACTCTCACTACAACTCCTGGTGAATCTGTTGCCTCGGCCTCAAACAGATACCAAATCGTCGTCAACAACATGACAACTCATGGAATAGTCCGAACTCCACTTGAATACAACCTCAAGTTCATTAACAGCCTCGGAAAGGGATGGGGAAATGTGAAATCGTGTCTTCAGAGTAATGGATCTCTGAAAAAGCTGAACCTCTACCAACTCTTCGATGAGCTTCAAGGTCATGAATCAAATGCTTCACAAACCCTAAGGGAACTCACAGGAGGTCCTCTAGCTCTTGTCAGTTCCTACGATCCTCAGATTCCGAACCTCGCTGTCTCGGACCCCTTCACAGTTGTTGTACCATATATCCCACCTGTTCAACCCTTACCAACAGCCTTACCTGCTCCTACAAACAGCAACTATCAATTAAATGGTGACTTCAACCGTGAAGAAATGGACTCCGAACTTCAATACCAACAAGAGTTTGCTTTGCTTTCCATGAGGTACAATCGTCCCTTTAACAAGCCATATCACAACCGCTTCCATGCTCCTCACCAAAATAACCCTCAACCATTCAAAAAACCTTCAGAAAACCTACCAGCTTACACACCTAACCTTCCTACACCAAATCACACCTCGGAATCTTCACAGACTCCGAAGTCAGACAAACCCAAGATTGTATGTCACAAATGTGGTCATGCAAACCATTTTGCCAAAGATTGCCTAGCTGAAGTCACACAGAAACCCAAGATTAAGGACTCTGCTTACTATGTACATCGATCTCAAGGGATGACAGAGAGTGAAAAGACTTTTTTCGCTACTGTATCAAGAGAAGTGGAAGGGTATTAGTCTTGTGGAGATGATGATGACGTGAGTACTAGCAGAAACATGTGATTTATGGCTAGACCGAAAATTAAATGTGATGAAGGCTACTGGTAATCTGGATCAGAGGGAGATTATGAAGATACCGAACCAAACTACTGCTACATGGATACCAACGATCCTCCCGGTAGAAGAATCGTTCAACAGGCACTCTGTGCTTCGGAGCAAGAAACAATATGGTATATTGATAGTGCTTGCTCCATGCACATGAAGAGGCAAAAGGACTTTCTGCTAGATCTCAAACTTTCACCAAATGTTGGCTACGTGACGTATGGCAACAACTCCAACTCTCAGATCAGAGGTTATGACATCCTTAAAAATGACAACTTCTCCATTTCAAAAGTGGCATATGTAGCTGATTTGAAGCATAATTTGATAAGTATGGCTCAACTCACTGATGCGAATCGACGAATTGAATTCTGCAAGAAACACAGCTATGTCATGACAGAAGACCAGAAGGAATGTTTAATCAAGTCAAATCGCAACAAACACATGTATCCTCTTGACATCAACATGATCATTGGCAAGCCCCAGCTCTCTTCCTACTCCCAAAAGTTGTTCCTGACGTCAGTTGGTTATGGCATAGTGATGGGTTTTACACAAATAAACATCCTATGTGCTCATGCAAACCCTACTGCTTGGATCTAGGCTTCTCTATTGTACATGCAATAAATCCAAGACTTGCAAACCCTAGATCTAATAGCATGAATTCGAAATATAACATAACAAATCAGATCTAGATGATTACCTTTGTTGATTGCTGGATTCCTTCTTGATTCTTCTTGTCTTAGAGCTTAGAGTCACAAGTGTAACTCCTCTAATGGCTTACAAACACCAACTAGCAAGAAGGCAATTATGAGAGAGAGGAGGGAATGCTAAAATCGGCCCTAGGGTTTCTCTTGAGATTAAGTGTAGCCGATTTTCATAGCCCAAGGGTCCTATTTATACTGTAGGCTGCTAGGGTTTCTGCCAAAACCCTAATGGACAACTTAATAACCAAGCAGTCCATGGAAGCTTCTGGAATGGGGCCTTGGACAAAAAGATGATGATCCTTCATCATAATTTCGTTCCCCCTTAGTCCATTAGGTTTCCCAGCCCAAAACTTAACTATCACACATTTGACAGTTTATGCCCCTATATTTAATTAATCTCTTTTAGTCACCAAATTAATTCCTAATTAATTTATGATCAATATTAATCAAATAATATGATTTCTATTTTAATATATTATTCTTATAATATATTAATAAATCATAATATCTTCTCTCTCTCCATAAATTACCCTGTCAAGTTGCTATGGAGAAGGCAACCCAAAAGGACCATGCACAACCGGGTCAAGTACTTACCAAATATAGTTACGGGCTTAGACACTAATCCAACAGTCTCCCACTTGGATAAGTCTGGTAACTATAATGTAAGCATATTCCGATTAGCAATCGTAGCTCTCAAAGACGCTATCGAAATCTGATCTTATCAGTAACCTGTCCTTTAGATAAGGGATCGTATAGTCCTCTGTTCTAGATATCGTGCGGACAATCACATGGAACATAGTCATACTTATTGTCCAGCAGTTTGTTTCTCGATCTCAGATTCATTTGACATAGAACTTAATTGAACACATCAATTCAGTCCTGACCGGGCCCGTCACATAAGTCAAATCAAATCATCGAGGGGCCCTGATATCGCTTCTACCCTCTTAGGATAAAAGGAACAGATAAACTTCGACTTATATGCATTTATTATTCACTAATCAAATCATACACAATAATGCGTTTTATGACATCAAGTTACTGATGTGTTTT